TTTTCAAATATAAATAATATTTTAAATACATTGAAATATATAATAATATATATATAATTGAGGTCGGGGTGGGGTGGGGACTTCATTCCCCATCTCCATCCCTGACCCCAATCAAGGATTCCTATTAATCTCCATCCCGGCCCCATTGGGTTGGGGAGGTCAGGTACTTGACGGGATGGGAAAAATTTCCATCCCTAGATATGTATAGTGAAATATGCTTTGCTTGTGCAACTTGGGTGGGCCTACACACACACACACACACACTCACACACACACACATACACACACACTAGTAAGCATGCATGTGCTTTGCGTGTGGCAATTCTAGATGATGATAATGATAGTAATAATATATTCAAATTTTTCTATAAATTGTATGTATTTTTATTTTTTATTATTAATCAAATGCATATTGCAAAATTTAATTACATAAACACCCCATCCAAATATGTGATAATCTGATCAAGTTGTAAAGTTTCAAGTATCATTAACAGGCATACCTGTTTTGCTAGACTTTTCTTTTTGTAGTATTTTTTCTTTTTGGTGTATCTTTTTTCTTTTGCTCATTTATCAAAAAATTGTAAGATTTAAATAGAGGGAATTGAATGAGGTGAAAAGTAGTAGTTCAATTTATAACTTAAACCTTACAATTAAATAGGGATACTTTAGTCAAAAAAAAAGTTTCACAATTGTATTCATATTTTTAATAGTAGTGTAAATATAGAATTATAGGTGTGTTCAACTTTCTACATTTTTTTTGTATAAAAATAATTCTAATATATTACACTTACTTTTTATTTAATATGATAAATATATGATATTATACACGTGCTTAAATGTTTTTTTGAAAAATTTATGTATATATTTATATATTTTATTAATTTTATTATTTATTTATGACATTAAAGATTAATACGTTTATTTATTTATTCATTACCAATAAAAATAATTCGTGTTTATCAAACATAGAAGTAAGGGTCCGTTTGGTTGCCGAGAAAGGATGGGACGAGAAGAGATGGGATGAAAAAGGATGGGACGAGAAGAGATGGAATGAGAAAGGATGGGATGGGAAGGGAAAATTTATTTTCTCATTCCTATCACACTATGTTTGGTTGTTGAGACCAGTTATCCCATCAAATTTGTTCCTAGTGTTTGGTTGTTAAGACTAGTTATCTCACCTAAATCCAGAAATTACTTGCAGTTTGCATAACTTGCTTTGATTCATGAGGTTTCAAATTCCTCCTTTTGCTCCTCGCAATTGACAAAAAGGTGCAACCCAGATAAGTTTGATGGAGAAATAACAATAATGCCTCTATTTGAGAAAGAACAAATTGATTTCTTTCTGGGAAAGAACAAAATCAAACCCATATAAGTTTGATAGAGAAATAACAGTAACACCTCGCATAAATTTTAAGAAGAAATGGCAATCTCAACAAGTTGATTTCTCTCTAGTAATCTAAAAATCCTCAAAGAGAATAGTCTATACCTATGAATTTACTAGATTGTTAAATCTAAAAAAATGAAGACCTACTTAAAACTTGTTTTTGTAGCTAACCCAAAAAATTGAAACTAGTAGCATCTCTGTTCCATTCAACCAGAACCAACAATTAGAAGCTACTTTGTTTACTCAAAAACCTTGTAGTCTCTACTAGAAACAAAAGACTCGCCGGAGTTGGTTTCTCATCGAAAAAATGAAGACAAAAATACCTTTCTATGATGGAATTGACGCAGTGTGACGCACTTGACCGGGCTAACTATACAAGCACCTAGACGATCGAATCAGCTTCGGACTTGAAGCCTCACGAAAAGAACTAGGCGTAGAGCCTTAGAAGAGAGAGAAGTGAATAAAGAAATTCTTGTGTGTCTCATTAAACTCAAAACATAACTATTTATAATACATACTGGTAGTTTTGTAGAATAACTAGGAAATTTAAACTTGTAAAACAACTAAAACAACTAGGAACTGGGCTTGTCGTCCGATGTCCATGCCTTCGATGCCCACCGTCCGATGTCCACCAACATCCGAGGTCGGTTGGCATAAGGAGTCTGCCCTTCTAATCTTGAGCTGGCGCCAGTTGGTTCGGTGGGTCCCATGCTGGCCCTCCATCATTCTCCTCCACTTAGAAAGAATTCGACCTCAAGTCATGATCAGGATAGGCAAGCGTCGCTTTCGAAAAATAACGATGAAGATCAGCAACATTAAATGTTTTGGAAATACCCATGTGATCTGGCAAGTCCACTACGTAAGCGTTGTCATTGATCTTCTTGATAATCTTGTATGGGCCGTACTTCCAAGGCTGTAGCTTGCTATGTTTCCCAACGGGTATGTGTTCCTTCCTTAAGAACACCATGACTTCATCACCGATGTCAAACACCTGGTACCTACAATGCCTGTCAGCTGCAAGATTATACTTTGCATTGGTCCTTTGAAATTTCTGCTGTACTTCCTCCTGTACTGACTAGATCTGTCCGGCTAACTGCTCTGCCGAAGTAATCAAGATCGGTAAAATTTAACATTGCATATATTATTTCTTTTATATACCAAACTTAGAAAAAGAAGGAAAAGATCTCATCATAGAAAATGACCAATACACCCTTCATGGGAAAGGAAAAATATGAAACATAGAAAAGAAAATAATGACGTAAATCGGCAAATATGACTGCATATATAGGGAAGGTGTGGGATATAGACATTTGATATATCATTTCGTGTGGGTGGGTGTCCGAAACATGAAATACAAGCCTTTTAGCCCATTTCATGGGGTAGAATAGACAGGACCCATTCGGCCATTCCCTCATGTATTAAAAAAAAACTAAAAGGAAGGCTTGCGTTAGGTGATTGATACACACCTTCCCTTATCGATACGTTGAACCTTGGGTATAGGTCATGAATGTGAGCCCATGGATCTTTAGAAAAGGATAAAATTATGGAGAATGGAAAAACAATGATGTAAACTAAATCTGTGTTTGGAATATGTTGGAAAAGCATTTTGTTGTGAGCAGACCCCAGCTCATCGGGTAAGGCTATGTTATGAATTTAGGCAGTTTGAGTGGGTGGTTCATTGGTATATTAGCTGGTTTGCTCCAGCATTGTCGTGAAGCTGATTCTCACAACCACCGATTTGGGGAGGGGAGGGGGGATTAATGATACGTGGCACCAAATACCAAAAAAAAATCTAGGCAGTTGAGACACACTAGGCAAAATACATGTTGTAAAAAATTATCCAATGGATGTTTTATCAGAAAAGAAAAAAATTCAATGAGATGGCTAAACATTATTAGGTTTAATGGGCCTCACGGGCCCAAGATTACGAATCCAAGGCAGGGAATCTGAGTATGGTAAATTTAACGGGCCCCTGAGTATGGAGTAGAGTCTCCAAGTACAGAATCTGAACCAGGCCCAAAGCCCACGACCACCAGTGTACAAGGTTTTCATGAGGAAGTTAAAGCAATCTAGTTATGATGAGTTGTGTTGTGTCTCACTTGCCTACTGATGAAAAAAAAAATAATAATAATAATAAAAAAAAACCTATAAATACGAGTGTGAATGAAAAGCTAATCTTCTTACCAAAAGAAAAGAAAGCTGATCGTTCGATTGTTCCCTTTCAACTCTTCTTTTCTCTGCCCATGGGGGTGGGCAGATCCCATCAAAGCAATTCAAAAGACTTGGATTGTCCCATTTTTTGAATCCAGTCAGCACTACACCCTTATAGGAAAAATGAGCTCACATCTCTGCACTACAATGCCCCACAGCATATCCCTGACGTGTATTAGGAACATCACCCGATGATAGTATCAGAACTGATGATGTCATTATCAGGAGATGTTTCCAATACGCGATGAGGATGTGCTGTGGGGCGGAGATGTGATCTCAGAAAAAGTGACCATAATTTTGCATAGAGCAAATCCAGTTTTATTTATTGAGTACTTGAACAATATATTATGAGTTTTCTATTTTTCTTTTGGTAATGATATTAAGAATTTTCTAAAGACATGTAACTTGTCTTAAAAATAGAGATGACAATTTTGTGAAAATTTTTGGGTATTTAATTTGTCCCAACCCCAATAAGACTTGTTTATCAAAACCTGATTCAAAGTATTAAAAATATAATGTGTATCAAAGAGACAATTTTAAAAGAAGTATAGGGATGTACTTTGAATGGAGTGAGACAGTTCATGGCGGGTTTATTTGGGCAATTTTTGCAGATACCAATTTTTGTACATACGTACACCCTAGATGTTGCCATCCCTACCTAATCCAAAATCAGTTATACCATGATCGTAAAATGCTCTTTTTAGGTAAATAATGAATTTGAGATACTTTATTACAAGAGAAATATTTATGTAAAGTTGAGGGTAGGAAAAAAAGAAAAGACTAAGGCCCCATTTGGTGTGTCTTTCCGCACAGGCCATTGGATTTTTTAAAAATTCGGTAATTCATGTTTGCATGTTCTTCCATTTGATTGGAGAAAGATCTTTCTGCTAAAAGACCATGGCCCGAAATGACATGAGAAGCTCAATTTGGACTTATTTTAAGAAGCTAAAAATGAAGCTTCTTGCATTTTTGCCTTCCCAGCTTCTTACGATAAACTCGATTCGGGCTTATGAAGAACGACTCCAACCAAACGATCTTTGGACTTCTAAGATCTTAATGAAAAAACTCACAATGTTGTTAGCTATCAGATCTTCCATATATCTTGCAAAAAAGACTGGACACCTAATTTTCTTTTCCTTAATTCTATCTTTTTCCACATCAATTCTCTCACTAATGTATTCCATCCATCTTTTATCTCCAATATAATATGACAATCCCTGAGGTGACGTATGCCTCTTGCCTGGATGAAAAATGCCTAAATAAACGTTTGAAGATATCATAGATTTTTTAGGGCTACAAATGCATCGGATTTAATCCTTGCAAACCGTAATTTGATTTTGATTCGTCATGTCAGAGTCATATATCTATTGGGTTCGACTATGATTCATTTATAATAACTGTATCAAATTGGAACAAAAAACATGATTCATATAAAAGCTTATCAAATCATCCATGTTACAATTGGAACTGTGGTCATATCATCTTCTTACGCTTTACTATTTTTTCGCGCCATCCTGTTACCACAGTTGAGTCCCATTCCATATGGAGAATGTTACTGGAATTACTGCCATCATCTTCCCACCATTCAAAGCCTTGTTTTATTACTTCTGGACAAGAACTAATAAAAATCTGGACAGATGGGGGCAAAGCCAACCGAACCCTTTTGCATACTCTCCTCAGTTTTGGTAGACAAACAAGTGACAATTTAGATAAGCAAGGGAGGTGGACAAAATCATGATGATCATCAACTTGGTTAGAGGAAGAGCCCACCATCTCATTCTTCTCTTCTCCTTCTTCTTCTTCTTCCTTCACTATCTCTTCAACTCTCAAACAATTACTGACATGAAGTGTTTGAAGATTGGGTAGATGCAGAATCATACACCTTGAGAAGATAAATGGCAAATTATCACAGCAGTATACATGTATGCTTGTTAACTGATTGAGGCTTTGAGGTGGTGCTGCTCCCTCCCAAATGCTTCTCAAATTATCCAGGTTTGAGAGATCTAATGTTTGTAGGTTGGGTAAAACTTGACAATGGGTTGCCATGAAACTGTCGTTTAAGTCATTTCCATCTATCACACTTTCTACTCTTTCACAACCTTTAATATAAATCTCCTTTATCCCCTTGAAATTTTCCATGCCTAAATCTGAAAGTTTTCTAGGAGTTGTACAACCTTCTAGAAACAACTTGGTAGCACGACTTACTGTAACCCTGATATCATCATTGGGTAATAACTCAATGCTGTCTAGAAATCTCAATCTATGCTCCCCAACATCAACTAATGGAGAGAACGACATCTGATCTTTGACATGGTAACCAATAGAGAGGTGAGACGTTTTCAAGCGTTGAGTCTTGACTGCAAAACTTTCTTGGACAAATTTGAGATAAGAATCCAGCTTGGGGAAGTTCATCTCAAGACGAGTAAGTTTGTTCAAGCTATCAACCTCCTCAGCAATTGATTCTCCAATCTCAACCCAATCCTCATCTAACCCTGGACCAACGTTGTCTACCCTTAGATCTTCTAATAGAGAAAGCCTTGATAGCATTCCACGGGGTATCATCCTCTTACCTTCCACCACTACTGATCCTCCATACCTACTAAATATTACAATCAAGCTCCTAAGCCTAGTTAGTTGCCCAACCTCTGTAGGCAAGTATTCCATCTCACCTCCACCAAGATGAAGCACCTCAAGACTCCTGAGACATCCTATTTGGGATGGACATTTACGTAGGCCTGTATACATTGCATATAACCCACGAAGGTTTACGAGGCATGAAATCGATGGCGGTAAATCATCTATACCAGTTTTTGATATGTCTAGAACTCGAAGGTTATGCATGTGCTCAAAGAATGACTCTGGAATTCTCTCCAATTTGGAGTTCTTTTGAAGCAACAATGTCAAGAGTGAGTCACACTGGGGCCTATCAGGTAGGTAATAAAGGTTGCCATTTTCCATCAGTGAGATCCTATGTTTCTGTTTCCATTCCTCCACGCATGGAGGATCTTCCATCTCCACTCTTGCTCTTACTAAGAATATACCACTCTCTCCCTCATCACTAGGGAAATTATCTAATGTTGATGTTGCTGGTGATGTGATTCTCAATGCTAGATCTCTAATCACATCATGCACCTTCACACATTTATCCCCATGCCTATCCTTTGTAAACTCTAACAAAGAGGCATTGCAAAGCTCATCCACTATAGTATATCCTCTATTAATTGCATCATCCAAACTTTGCACCACCCCATCACTGATAAAACCCTCCCCAACCCAATAATATATCAATTCCTCAATTTTGATCATAGAATCTTCTGGAAATAATGCACAATATAAGAAGCAATTCTTCTTCCTTTTAGTCTTTAGTTGATCATAGCTGAACTTCAAAATCTTGAAGACAGAGTCCTCCTTATCATCAATTATCTCATACTTGGCAGAACTCATCTCATAAAGTGCATTCTTCCACACATGAACATCTTTCTTCTTTCTTAAAAACCCTCCAATCACCTTGATGGTGAGTGGCAAACCTCTGCACTTTTCAACTATCTGCTTGGCTATGCCTTGTATCTCTGGAGCATCCACAACTTGAGAAACTACTTCTCGAAATAGCTCCCACGCTTCTTTCTTCAACAACACATCCACCTTAATCTCTTCATCAGTTTCCATTTTATTACACACATTAAAGGATCGAGTTGTTAACACTATCTTGGATCCGGTTCCTCTGCTCTGGCTAGGGATCCCTACACCTTCTAAATCAACATTATCCCACATATCATCCAAAATTAGCAACCACTTCTTATTCTGTAACTTTCCTAGTATTTGCCTTCTCACACTATTATTACCATGAGATTCTTCACCACAATTACCAACTCTCAAATTCAACCGTTGAGCAATTTGATTTTGAATTTTTCTCACATTCCCATCTTTTGGACTTGATCATCTTCAAGGCATTTCAATATCTTCTTTACTGTACGAGCAGTTGACGTCTCGCTTTTCATTTGTGGTGCATGTACTCGCTCAACATTCTGTAATGGTGCATCAACCATCACTCCATCCTCGAACTTGGCTTCCTCTTTGAGCCTGGAAATCTCATTTCTCTGAGTTGCTACACGCCTGCCTAGACATACTCGTTGCCAAATGGCAAACCATTTTCTGGGGAGTTGCCTATATTCTTCAAAATCTGTACACAATGTGCTATATTCTGTTTCGAAACGTCTTAAGTAGTCAAGCCACTGTGAAGTTTCAGGAGTTGGCATTTTTGACACTGTGTCTTCATTTATCTTTCTTTCAATCCGTGCCTTCTTATTTGAGAGATGTTCTTCTTCCCTATTGAGTTCTTCAAAGTTTTTCTCAAGGAAGAAAGCTTCTTCAAATCGACGTTTCAGAAAACCGCATAAATGCTTCCCTAAAATATTCATTGTTTTAATTTTGCCTGCAACTAATAAGAAAAACCAATAATGTAGTAAGTACATATATCCCCGACTGTAATATTACACCATCAATAATCAACATACCACAACTTTCGTGGTAAATTATCACTTAAATGGTTAAGACCTTTTTACACCTGGATAATTGTTTCCCATGTAAGTGTATCTATTCATGTTCTTTTATTTCTTTGGCAAATCAGACAATGACTGTTTCAGCCATAAAATGTCATTATTAGAAGGAATAATTTTATCTCACTCAAGTGTTGGCAATTTCCCCCAGGTGGAACAGTTACTTACCCATTTAGGAGATCGATATCACTTGCTTGGGAAAATAAATTTTTCAGACCTCACATAAATATGAAAAATCAACATGGGCTTCATGGTCAATGAGAATCAAAATCCCATTGACCAACTTTTCCTCCTCTCAAAATCCAACAAACCAATGGGCCCTAAGATTAAGATACTTTTATCACTAAAGAAAGAATAAGAAAACAACGAATTCCAGAGGGAAAAAATCATAAAGGTAATAATTTTGTAAAAATTAATGCCGTACCATATTACCATTACTGTTCTTAGGATCAACCTGGTTCAGACGGTTGTGTTATTTACATGATGAATCACAACTCAGTTCTCAGTTCTGTGTCTCAACACTCAAACATGGAGTGCCAATTGGCTCAGATTGGTAAGGTCTATGGCTGATTGTAGCATGGACTTGGTATCAAATCCCGCTGACTTCAGGATTGTGGGATGGATTATCCCCTTGTATAAACTTCTGATCAATCAACTGGTATCCTAAACGTGATAACCAATTTGTTATTAATCAAAATTCATGGGTGGGTTTTGATTGGTCAATGTGCATCATAGATTTTCCTAATAAAAGAAAGAAAAAATGAAAAGAAAGAAAATCTCTCAAACATCAGTTCTAATATGTCACCCACATTCTTGCCCACCCACACGTGTATTGGGAACATCTCCCCGGCGAATGATACTGAAGATATTCCCAATGAGAAACTGTAGTGTCTGGTGGGTAGGGATGTAGGAGCAGGTTGTGGGCAGAAAATCTTAAACCCTGAAATATAGATAACCTTTTCAATCTTTTGATTTTTTCTTCAAAGTACTTTTAGTGGGTCAAGGAATCAGCCCTGATATTACATAGGTTTCAGATTTGGCCATATGGGCCATAACACTTTGGAATTATATCTGGTTAAGAGATCGGTCCAGATGGTTGGACGTTCAACACTGACTCGCCAGTCCTAGCATGTTTGAGAAAGAGAGTAAAATACAAACAGTCAAAATGAAGTGGTGTCTAGTGACTAGTGGAACCGTTCAATAAATGTAAAACAAAAATAAAGGGATAATTAAATACCTGGTGAGGAAGGGATAAATAGAAGCAAAACCTTTTTTGGGTAGACAGAAATAGAAGCAAAACTTGAATACTTGGCTCCTCAATCTGCTTTAAAGCGACAAGAGTGATCCAAACTGTAGATTTTAACCTTGGATAGAAAGAAAGACCCTTTTGAAGATGTTCAGAGAGAAAAAGAGGAGGGATACACTTCCTATATCAAACTCTTCACAATAAAGAAATATGATCTGATCTCTGTTATTATGCTGCTGAGAAAGAGCCTCCTCAACCCAGAGAGAGAGAGAGAGAGATTGACTTCTCTGCTCGAGGAGGACGAGAGAGATATGAGATCGGGGGGAGGGGGTAAATCTATGTACCTTGCAATTGCAAATTTGCAATGGAGAAGAATCACGAGAGGATGAGATCTCCACGTTTGCCAGCTATTATTATTTATATATACATATAATATATCCCTCTTCTCCATGACTTCATATATGTGAGAGAACCACGAACACTACTTAATTTTATATATTTAGTACTGCCATGGACCAAAAGGCCCACAATTTTTTTTTTTAAATGACATGGTTCACAATTACTGAGCTACTATTGTACATAAATCCAACTACTGATCAGAAACATTCAAATGGTGTCTAACGAAGTGGTTAAAAAATTGAAAAGAAAATGAAAATGAAAACAAAGAAAAGTGATGTTCATATCCAGCCTTTAGAATGTCCCATGCCAAATCCAGTGCGAGGCAGCAACTCATAAGTCATTAACCGTGGAATTTATTAAAAACTTACAGAACTCGTCTGTCCTGCCACGTTCCATTGTTTAAGCTTGTGCAATCTCTCCGCTATTGTTCCTATAATTTGGAAGTGGAAGGAGTGCAAATACAAATATGTGCAAGTTAAGTCCACATCATCGCAAGTCAATTCCCAACATGGCAAGTTACCATGGTTTGCATCATGACATGGCATTTGATCAATATAACAAATTATCATCTCAATCACAACGTCCAAGAATCTCAACATAACAAGTCATCTTTTCAATTCTTAATGCAAGTCCTCAAAATCACATCTCAATAAAGCCATATGTAGCAAGTGCCAAGCGTGCCATCAATTCATGTATGAATGAACTTCCTAAGCTCAAGGCGCCAGAAAATTAATAAAAATGAAAAAGAAAAAAAGATAAAGAAATGCAAAAAAACTAAAAGATGTCATTTTCATCCATCCCCAACTCTTTAATTTTAAGGCTAGGGGTAAAGTAGCTGATTAAGGTTCACTAAAAATAAGTTGCCTTTGGTTGATTGTTACTCCATTGAGCCACCTATGTTCACACATTCACTTCTTACAACCCTTGAATGGACCTTAGCCTTCCTCCATGAAGCTTGAAATTTGACCCACAAAGTAAATAGCACCCCTTCTCAATCTCTTTGGGGAAAAAAAATTCAAAATTTAAGTAACATGAATCTCTTCACATTAACCATCTATGTTTTAGGCAAGGGGCAATGAAAGCCCTAAGGGATCCATAAAAGGGGAGGCCATCTTTGGCCCAACAATTACTCTAAGCTGCCCATGAGCATACTCTAATCCCTTATAAGCCACTTTGGACCTCATTGTCAATATCCGATTTTTGCTCGGTCCACCGCTTGAACCCCCAATTTACCCTAAACGCCTAATCAGACCCTTCCAATCTCTTTGAAACACCCAAAAAACCAAAAATCCCAACTTTCAACCTCAAAGCCCTTAAGTCCACCATTAAACCCATATGATACCAATCTGATGACCCTGATCAACCCCCATCTACACTTTTACCCTTAGATCAAACACCACCATCAGACTCAAGACCTTTCAAAATACATACCCATAAAAATTCAATTCAACATTCCTCTTTTTACCCCTTCATCAAGTAAAGATTCCATTCTGACGCTTCTCATTAGCCTAAACACCCAAAACCCAGATTCCCTTTATCTTAACACATTCTAACCGATCATACCACACCATTAAACTCCAAATACATCAAAACACCTTTCCATAAAGTTTCAACCCCAGATTCCCCCATTTGCTCTTCTATTAAACCAAGATTTCATTTTGGATCATTCCATTGACCCAAATTCCTACGATCTTAACCCTCCAAGATTAATCAGACATCACCATCAGATCCTAGACATCTCCAAGTACTCACGTGTAAAATTTCAGCCCAAAACACCTTTGTTTACCCCACCATCGCACCTAAATTCTGTTTCAAGACTCTAGATTGACCAAATCATACCCCTTCCAAATTTGCCCAATCCTGGCCCGATTGGGCCAATCAGACCTCACAAACCAACTCAAAATGTCCAAAAACCCCATCCTACCAAATTTCAACCCAAAATACCCCTCCTTGGCAACTCATTTAAAAAGATTCTATTTCAACCAATCCTACTGACCCACACACACGAAACCCCTCTCTATGATCAAAAACCCATCCCGGCCCTCCATTTTCTAATTCAAAATCCCCTCCGTCCATAAGGAATCCCCAGTTTGACCCCATTTACCCAGTATAACCCAACTTTCCAAAATTACAAAAGTACCCTTAGGATTCCTAAAATTTATGAAAATGCCATTGTGCCCTAGTATAAATTTCAAGCTAAGTTTTTATTCAACCTAATTTGTTGTTCATCTTCAACCTTTCCTATAACCAGAAGCAGTGACGACTGTGAAAAGGAACTTGTCTCTCCTCTTATTCCCCCCTCCAGCCTCTCTTTTCTCTCTTATTCTCTCTTTCTCCCTCTTTCTCTCCTTTTTCTTTCTCTTCATTTTCTTGTTCATCACTGCCATTACAACTCATTGCAACAACGGATTCAATCACACCAGTGGCGATCCCCTCCACCATTGGTCTCTCTCTCATATCTCTCACTCTCTTTCTCTCTCGACTTATCCCTCTTTCCACATATTCTCCTTCGTTTTTGCCTTTTTCTCTTCTTATCCTCCTTTTTCCACTATGCTCCCCTCTCCCCTATTCTCACCTCTACGCGTCACCACAACTGTGGCGCAACAATGGCTTATTTCTCTCATCCTCTAGTTCTCTCTCTCTCTCTCTTCTACACAACTAACGACAACCAGTGGCAACGACAATCCCCCTTCACCTCTGTCACGTATCGGTCTTGCAGTGGTGGAGCCTTCCCATATCCTTATTTGATTCAAGTGAAGACTCAATAATTGTCGATTTTACTTTCCTTTCGTCATCTCGATGGTTTTCTAACATTCGAGTCACTAGCCAAGTTCCTTGCATCCTATTGATAACCCTGCATTTTGATGCCTTAAGGGCATCAATTCAGGGGTATTTTCAGCCTTAGAGTAGTTGAAGTGTACCTTTTTCCTAGTTATTAATTATGTGACCTCTGAGGGTCTCTGTACAAATTATGTAGAAAACTAGGAAATTTTCATGACTAAAGTGTGGTTTTTGGGGAGCTGGTGTGAAGACCAGCTGAGAGAGGGGGTGTTTTTGTAAAGAACTAAGAACAAGAGGGCACCTCCTATCTGCTAAACCCAATTGGCACCCATCCTATTGTATTACCATGCTCCCCTCTCCTTAGCAAACCCTAGGGAGCCTTTTTAACCTAATCTTTTCCTCCTTAGCTAACCCTAGCATATGTGAAATCTCCACCATCTGCTCCTTCTAATCTCCACCATCCATTTTAGGGCTCTCCTTTGTAGCTTCTAAACCCTAGGGTGCCACCTATTCTGCTAATCCTCACCATTCAGCTCCCCCACTATTAAATCTCAGCCACTCCCTCCATCTTATATCCCAACCATTCAATTTAGGACGCCACTTATTCTTTTAATCTTAACACTTCAACCCTAGATGTTCTAAACTACACTCTCCATTTCTAGGCGTCTAAATCTCAGCCCTACATAATATTAGGCGCCCTCTCCTTCCATTCTCAACCATAGGATCACCCCAAAACTATCTTAGTCATCCATTAGAAACCCTAGGGCGTCCCTAACTTTGCTAAATCCCAGTTGCCACCCCCATCTTTCTCCCTATTTCTAGTTGTGCCCACCCTTCCTTATAAAAAGGGTCCTAGGGGCCCTATAGAAGGGGTTGGTCAATTCACCCAAGTAAGAAGGAAGGCTGATCTCGAGAAGTTCAAGGGTAGAGGAAGAGGAGGACTCCCAGGCAAGAGGAGGGGTTCCTACTTGCAGTTTGCCAACACCACTATTGCCACCTTTGGATTTGAATCCCAACCATTTTTTCATCAGTTTTAGAATTACTTTTTGTTCTTTAATTTCCAGTTTATTTTTCCTTTCTACAAATTTTACTTTTATTAGATTTAATTTGTACTTTATTTCTTTTCTACAAATCTGAAATTTGGCCAGGTAAGATGGAAGGCCTAACTCGAGAAGTTTGAGGATAAATGGCAAGATCCAGAGACTCTACCTTTGATCGAATTGCAAATTTCTTCTTTTTAATTTATGTTGTTTATTTATTGTTGTTATTTATTTTATTCTCAGTAGTGTTCGAACTCCATTTTTATTTAATTCCTATTTAATTAGTGGAAGTTTTTTTTTTTATTCTACAATTTCCCTTTGCATTCTTTTACCCGAATTAAGGTTTGTAATAATTTTCCCCTTGCTTCCTTGTGGATACGACCCGTTCTCACCATTTACTATGTTTATAGTTGCTGTGAAAAATGGAAAAATTATAAATGTTTAAACTGGTGTTCCAGAGTGTTTAATGACACGCTTCCGGACACACCACCTATAAACTCACCATTCAAATCAAAGAAATCGTCCTTACAGCAATGACGACGGTTTTGTCATCGGTTTAAGGGAATAACATGTAGCATGACTTCATGATTCCTCTTGTTCCACTTCCATTAATCTACACAAAGGTTGTAATCATTCGAGAGTGAAGAGTTTAGCTGCAACAGATCTACGTTACCCTTGCTTCATGAATCCATTATCTAGCCAAAATCCCAACCTGGGTAAGCTCGTCATTGAGATTTAATAGTTTGTTTAATTGTTTTGCTAGGTTTGGGATCTAGGAGGGAAAAGGAGAGCCGACAGAGCTGGTTTCCCCAAACCAACTCCTATAAGTCACCTAGTACTAACCCGGATATGAGATTGTCATGTTTACTCTTCTACTTTGTTATTTTTATTTCTTACTTTTTTCATTTTGATAACACCATGAAAATGTTGAGATTGTCAATTTGTTCTTCTACTTTGCTCTTTCTTTGATAATACCGTGGTAACATTAAGATTTAATTGATTTGGTCTCTTTTGATTTAAATTTGTTTAGATAACATGTTTGATAGAATTTGAACCTTGATGGTTGTTTCTTCATTTTTGCCTTGTTCAAGAGTCAAGACTAGAATAATCGTGTTGTTTTCTTTGGTTATTGATAGATGTAGTTTGGATATGTAGTTATTTTTCAGTTCTAGGGAATGAGTCTAGTGGCTATTGGATTTGGCTTCCTTAGATTGGGATGAATAACAATGAATTGTGATTTCAAGGAGCTCCTAGTTTTCTGGATTTCATCCCACTATGAATTGAACGCACACATATATACATAAAGTTAATGTCAAGGAAGGGGGGATAATGAAAGTGTAAGTAGGATGTGATTAGGCTAGAGGAGTGGTCTCTTTGAAAGACAAAGGAAGACTAGGAGCAGAGAATCAACCAAGAGGCTAGGGTAAGGGGTGTGAGGAGGCGGTTGAGTAGGGAATTTGATGATAGGGTTAATTAAGAGTTGAATGAATGAATATCGTAACAAGAGGGACCCCTATTTATAGGGAATGGTCTCGAGATCCTGAAAGGAGCCAAAAGCGTTTGTTTTCTACTAGGAAAGAGAATATTAGATTCTTTGTCGGCCATTAAGGAGCGTCGCTAGGGTTTTGCCATGTGTTCTTATGGGAACTCTCGAAGGTTGACTTTCCTTTCACTCGAGGGTCCTCATAACCCACGTGTACTACCACTTTTCACATCTCACTTAAACCTATATGGCGTCCAGTCACGTGTGTAACTTAAAGTTTTATGTGCAACTCGTATTTGGGCCCGGTTTTGGTGAACCGTGCCGCCATAATGGTCTAGGGTTTATCGCGGGTGTGTAATGAACAGTGGGTTCATCACTAATCTGTAATGCACCATAGGTTCATCATAGACTTGCGATGTACTATTGGTTCATTGCAGGGGAAAGATCGGCTGTGGGCTGATCGTAAGCGTCTATGTGGTATAAATCCAGTGTTTATTGTGCTTCAAGGAATTGAGCAAGCACTATGTACCTACATTAGCCCCCCTGCTTATTGGAAAGTGGAAACTTATCGATAAGCATTTTGTCTTCGTATTTGCTTTGAAGTTCTGTGATGGGTCAATGAATACTTGTGCGTTGGATCTGGCAATCCACTATGTTTTGCGATTTTGTGTGACTGGAGGGGAGTTGATTTGGGCATTGTCAGCCCCCTGTCTATTAAAGGGCTAGGAGTCGGTTTTTCAAGTGGTTGAATGTTTTTGCACATTATCGGCCTTTGGTAAGAGTTAGGTGTTTGTTCCTCGATTGCCTTTTATCTCTTCTGTGACTTAGCCCCCCTGTATTTTGGTGATTTCCTTTCTATTATCGATAAGCATTTTGTCCCGCTTTTTGAAGGGTATCTTCATAATTTTCATTGAACTACTTTTTTGTTAAGCGTCATTTAAATTAATACGTTGCATGGGTCTCACTCAGGACCATCTCTACCTCTTTCATCCCCAAGCACCTTGTTTTGACCCCGTCTGCCATTCGATAGTATAGTACCCCATTTACCAATTGGAATTTCATAATCACTTTGTTGTCTTGTGTCGCTACCCTTGGGTTATTCAATTTCTGCATTATGTTACATCTCTAATCGCCTGTTGCGATCTTGTCCTCTTTTTCTACCCAGTGTCCTAGTCTGTCAGTTGATGGCTCACAAAGAATGTGAGTGGTAATGTTGATGGCTCACAAAGAATGTGAGTGGTAACGTTGATGGCTCACAAAGAATGTGAGTGGTAATGTTGATTGGGTTTTGGATGGGTTGAATTTTTTATCCCAGGGTAGCTAGCGTGTCGGCGAATCTATTCTTGGCTCTATTTTGGTGCTCAAAGGTTACTTCTAGATCACAGGTCAATGTTTGTATCAAGGTTCTGTAGGGTAGGATCATCAGTTCTTTGACAGTGGTGCTTCCATCTAGCTAACCTATCACCAATTTAGAGTCTCCTGTTACTTTGACTTTCTTAGCTCCCGCATCTCTTTCTATAGTCAGCCCTGAGACCAGGGCTTCATATTCAGCTATGTTGTGGGAACAGGGGAACTGAAGTTTAAACAAGTAGGCGGAGGTGTTACCGACAGGTGACATTAGTATGACTCCAGCACCAGCTGAGGTGTTAGTGCTGCTTCCATCGAAGGTTAGAACCCACTCGCCTTCTTCAACCACTGCGATCATGGGAAGCTTTCTTGGGACATCTTCTGATATAGAAAAATCATTGGTGGTGGGGAAGGCAGCCAAAAGGTCCACCGCCGCTTGACACTTGATGGCCCAAGGTTGGTTGTACTCGACTGTGTATTTGCTAAGTTGCATCATCCATTTAACCAATCTTCCAGAAAGAGGGGGTCTATCCATGAAGAATCTTATCGGGTCGCTGTGCGCGATTAACCTAACCTTCTGACCCAAGATATAATATTTGAATTTCTAATTGACAAACACTAGTACCAGACATTGTTGCTCCATGTGTGAATAATTCTTCTCGGCTGATTTTAAGGTCCTGCTGGCATAATATGTTGGGCACTCAACTCCTTTATCATTTTCTTATGCCAAAAGGCTTCCTATTTACCTCTGGGTTTGATTCAATGCAGACTTTGAACTCTCGGCCGTTCTTGGGTGGTTACATAGTTGGGGCCTTAGCTAGGGTACTTTTCAATTGCTCAAAAGCTTTCTAATGTTCTTTTGTCCACTTGAATTTCATAGACTTCTTCACTAATTTCATTAGTGGCATGACCGCATGCGCAAGGCCATAGATGAATCTTCTAAGGAAGGAGACCTTTCCTAGAAAGGTCTTTAGCTGGGATTCATTGGTTGGCGATGGGAGATCTAGGACTGACTTTACTTTACTTTCATTTGGGTTGATCCTGGTCCGGTCCACCCTATACCCCAGAAACTTCCTGGACTGTACTCCGAATGCACACTTCAAAGGGTTGAGCCTTAGGTTAAAAGTTCTACACTGGCTAAACACCTTCCTTAATACATTGGGATGATCCTCCTACTTCTTTGCCTTAACCACTATGTCGTCTACGTAAAAATTGATCTCCTTGTGCATCATATCATGAAAGACACTCGTCATCGTCCTCTAGTACGTGGCCCTAGCATTCTTCCGGCCAAAGGACATCATCTTGTAATAGAAGTTCACAATGGGCATCCTAAAAGCTGTGTAAGGCACATCTAGAAGGTTCATGAAGATCTGGTTGTATCCACTGTAGGCATCTAGGAAGGAGAAGAGTTGGTTCCCTACTATTGAATTTATCAGTACCTCCATGTTTGGCAGGGGGAACTCATCCTTAGGGCAGGCTTTATTTAGATCCCTAAAATTGACACAACACCTGCAATAAGGTTTCAAGAGGATAGTTTTCAAAGGTGCGCTAAGGTTAGGTAACTAAACTTCAAGGTACTGACCTGAGTTGTCCATTCTTTTTCTTTACTGGCACTTTATGTGCTAGCCATTGAGGGTGCACTATTGGTTTGATGAACCCTACCTTCAGAAGCCGCTCGACTTCTTCTTTGATCTTCAGAGCTACTTCAGGCTTAAAGACTCTCTGGGGTTGCTTTATAGGTCTGACCCTGGGGTCTATACACAGGGTGTGTCTGACGAGTGCTAAGTCCAATCCTGGCATCTGGTTGTACGACCAAGCGAAAACATCTTGGAATTCTGTGGGAGTGCACAGGGATTAGTCTCTTTTAAACGGGTCTTAGAGTTTTGCGGTAAAGAAAGGCTTTTACCTTTTAATAGTGCGATCAACTTTTCTCTATCTTCTTCCCTTAGTTTGGTCGATATGTACAACGCCCTTTTCTCTTCTCCCTTCACGGCCATGTTGATCTCTTCTAAAGGTTCTTCCACCGTATCGATGGAATCGATCATACATTTGAGAGGTGCTTGGAATTCGTCACAATATTCTAGGGTTCCACTCCTTTGTTCCTATTATTGTGGGTAGTACTTAGTGTTTTCTAGTTTTTCTATCAATTGCGAATATAGTATGTTCATTGTCGTACCTCTAGTGTTTGCGATACTTTTCTGGGTTGCAGTGCTTCTTTATGCGATGAGACTACAACAATGTCCTTTTGCGGGAATGACTTAGTAAAATAGTTTTAATTGAAGCATTACTTTAAATTTTCATTGGGAGGAATCTTATGATAGTCTTGCTTAGAACATTTTCATGGCATACACATATGTCTAAAGAAAAGTATATGTATATTGTATATCTTGGGAATGATAGTAACTGTGACTTGCGATGGAATTACACTTATCATGCTCAGTGAAAGGGATGAGAGATCCATCATATGGATGGCCGAACCCTACAGGTAGGTTGGGAAAATTTTCAAAAATTTCTCTCTCCCATGTAGAATCACATTCCCTATTTTAGAAAACTGCATTTTCAAGGATTAATCTTGAACCTAAACCAGACCAGATCTGAAACCAAAAGGTAGGAGAGGGATATACCTGATACGGAGTAATAGTAACTCCCAACGAAGGTGTTCACGCCCAAGGAAAACGCCAAAGACTGCTTCCACTGAAGATGACATAGCGTAGGGTGGAGCAAAATCAGCTGGTGGTTCTTCAGCAAGAACCGAAGTCTTTAGCAAAAATTCGATGAAGGGTGAGTGAGCCCGACTTGATATCAGTTTTCACCAAAAACTGATATCAAAAACATTTCTTGATCGCTCCTACAGATGGAGATCGAATTGGCTATGGCGGCAGCAATAGAAGGAGGCAAGAGTAGAAGATGGCATCAGTCTAACTGGAGTTGTCTTCTCTCTTGAATTTGTAATTTGATTGGGTGATATGGGGTTCGCCCTCCTCCTCTATTTATAGCCTTAAAGAGAGGTTCTCCTAATCCCATTAGGAGTTTCCTAATCCAAAGCTTGTATTTGGATATGGACTCTCTTTAAGAGATAAGGATAATCCCTTATCTTATCTGCAAATAAAGATCAGCCCTCCTAATCTTATTAGGAGTTTCCCAATCCAAATCTTTATTTGGATCAGGACTCTCTAAGTGGATAGAGATAACTCCTTATCCTATTTGTTGATCTAAATCCCAGAACCGCCCCTCTTTAATTAGTCATATTAAACCAGTTTGAATTGGGCTTTAGGCCCATTAAGTCCATGTGCTCACTTATCCTTCAAACTGTTGCCTAGTTGGGTATCCTTGTATGGCATGGGACCTAAACATTGATCTACACATCAGCCACATGGGTTCAGCTCAGCCTCTGTTACAAGGCCTGGCCAAATTCATTGTAGGAGACAGTGAACCCCTGAGTCCATTACCATGGGCTCTTAATGGGCCCAACATTTACACTAAATGGTCCTTGGGTCAAGCCAGCTTATAAAAACCCAAGGACTGTGGGCAAATGCAAGATTAACCCATCAGGTATTACCCTCAATGGTCTTACACTTAACCTCTTAGCCCATAATGATCAAACACTGCCCGACAAGAGAGGACATTTCCCTCGACTGCAAGGTACAGTGTTGCACTCTTTACTCACATGGATCCCGGGAATTAATACATTTTGCAAACATTTTGAAACCATAATATATATGTATATCTCTATATAAATATATTTTGCAAAACAAATTTCAACGGTTGAAATCAACTGCCAACAGTTTTGGTTTTCATCAGAGAAAGTGCATCCTTGATCATTCACTTTGTCTAGCAAAGGGGTTGAACCTGTCACTATGATCACCCACTCAGATGAATTCTCGGATTGTCCCACATACCCAGGTTTTGACCCCCTCTAAGGATCTCACTGATTGACATATCAAAGATAGCCCAATCCGACACCTAGTGTAGTATCATAATCGAGTCTAGGGGTCAGGTGTAACATTCTAGTTTTGCCCATCAATCTCTAAGGTCTAGGGTAATGCTGGAATTCTAGTTTGGTTCAGGGTTTCAAGAAAACCCACACTGCATGTACCTTAGGTCTCACCCTGGCAGCCGAGACAAGCTACCCCAACCAACTTGGCGGCACATCAGTGTCAGCCTTGATAGGATAAATCTCCCCAGATCTATCCAACGGCTATGAAGATTCTAAACTAACACGATTCTCATATGTTTCCAGTTTAAGGGTATTACACAGAAACACACCATAATAATATGAATCAAATATGTACTTTATTCATTTATATTAAATGTCATAAGGTACATCATTCTGATTGGAGCTAAGGGCATACACTGTCTAACACTCAAAATATTGTAAGATAAATTGTAACCTAGAATTACCAGAAACTCGTACCTTGGGAATAGCTCTTTTGGCCATCGATAGCCCAGTGTCGTCATAATCTATGATTATAGTGTAGTAGCTTTTTCCGTTGTTGCCAGTCATCTGCACACACCTGGTCCTTTTCTTCTTTTCCGCCACCGTCGGAGGCTCCTCTCGTGCTAAGTTTGGAAGCTACATCCCTTTTACCCTAGCTATCTTTGTCTCTCCTTCGTCATTCAGCTCCGTGTGGTACATTGCATCTTGTAGGTGAGCCTCTGATCTGTCGAAAGGGACCTTGGTAGCGGGAATCCTTATTATGTGTCCTTTATGCTTAGCTTTAATGCACTGGTGGTACGTCAACGGGACCAAGGTGAGACTGTGTATCAAAGGTCTCCCCAAGAGGGTATGGTAGGTGGTCCTCCCCAAGATGACTTGGAACTCTTGTCTGATAGAGAATGGTTTGATCGCTACCTACAAATCAATGGAGCCCTCTATAATAGACGCATTCCCGTTAAAGTCAGTCACCTCCATAGGCAGACCTCTAACCATCTCTAGTTATGTATTCATCAACTTCAGTGTATGGATAGAGATCAGGTTGATAGAACTCCTAGGGTCAACCATGGACCTCCTCACTTCGAAGCCCCCCACTCTTGTTGTAAGGTATAAGGGCCGAATGTGGTGGGGGTTTGTGGCCAGCATCTCCTTTGATGTAAATTCTACATTGTTGTGATCATGACAATAAGGCTCCAAAGGTCTTCTAAACACTTCCGCTACGGCCCTGATGGCTAGCTTTCTTGTTGACGTGCTTGTCCCTTGCTTGCTAAAGAAGTGTTGGAGCTTTGGGGCTTTGTTCTAATTTTTCTATTAGCATGTCCGATTGATAATGAACCGGTTCTCCTACTACGTTGATTCTTCCTCCTTGGGTGTGGACTAGGAAGGGGTCGGTCTCCACCTGTGCGGGGTTCCGCTTTATGAATTCATCTAGTTTCACTTTTTACACGAATAACCTCCTCAACGAGAAGCAATTCATCAGGTCATGGTGCAAGGATTGGTGGTAATTGCACCACTGCCCTCTGCACCTGTCCTTCTCCAAGTCTACTCCTGTTGGTGGCAGTGGTAGGCTGATCACTCTGTCCTCGACCAGTTTATTCATT